TGATGTTTCATGATTAATAATTTTGCTGTTGATTCTCATGTCAATTCTGGTTGCTCAATAAACTTCTGTTGGTTCAGCTATCTGTGGATTGGATTATTCTTTCATCTTCAGTCTCGGGACCCTAAATGCTACAGCCAACCTATGAAAGGAAATAACTTTTGCTAACTTGACTTTCTATAGTTTCAAAATATCTAAGAGACAAGAATGGTAAAGGATGGTCAATAATGGTTCAAAGTATCTCCCAGGAAGTTCTTAAGGGCGTGTCCATTCATTTTTGGGAGGACTTGTAATGACAAAAGCGAAACTATGGGTGGTTGAAAAACTGACAGCTACTCAGTTTGGCTAAGGCTGAGCTTAAAACAGTTTCTCCCCATTGAAGTTTGGTTAGCATGATCAGTGCTTCTTCAAGTGCAACTGCAACTTTATCAAAAAAGGGAGGTTGGAGATTGGTTGGAAATGATCCACAATAGTTTAGTCCAGATATGACATCTTTAGAGTGGCATGTACTACCTCCTCCCTAAAGTAAGTCAAGCACTTCATGGACGTAAAATGTATATCACCTCCCAGGCGGCAGAGGTGGGTTGCTGCTGGTTCAGCCTGGTTTGGCCGAACCGGTAGTGGAATTCATGCCTCAGTCGCAGGACCAGCAGCGACCCAACCTTGCCACGCCCCCGAACTGGTTATCTCGCCGCCGCTGGGTGGCCGCCATTTTGGTTTTTAATGACTGCGCATGCGTAGTTCACTGTAAATTGTTCTGTGCATGTGCCGGGTAGCGAACCAGTAGTAAAACTGGCAGCAATCCACCCCTGCCAAGTGGCTTTAATCAGTGAAGTGGGACAAGGATCTGATAAGCAGGTCCCAACAACTATGTAACAGAGAAACATTCCTTTCAGGAATTTTGATAATAGCAATAGCACTTAGACTTATATACTGCTTCACAGAGCTTTATAGCCCGCTCTAAGCAGTTTACAGAGTCGGCCTATTGCCCCCAACAATCTGGGGCCTCATTTTATTGAACTCAAAAGGATGGAAGGCTGAGTCAACCTTGAGCCATTGAGAATTGATTTGCCAAACTGCTGGCAGTCGGCAATTAGCAGAGGTATCCTGCAGTATTGCATTCCAACCATTGCCCCACCACGGATAAATGGCCTGTTTCCAGAAGGTTTATGTTTTGCTCATTCATAATGTAGAAGGAAGCTGGACTATCTTTCCACTTCTTTCCTGGAACTGTGTTTTCCTACCTGCACCTCCACAGGTTTGTTTTAAAAAACAAGTGTTGCTCTAATCTCTTACCTGGAGAAGAATGCCTCAGATTACTCTTTTCCTCAGACTTCTGAATTGTTCTATCGCCTCTCATGTGGAAGGCCACGCCAGATTTACCATTATGGAAAGTCTCATATGGATATTGGGTTGGCAATTCTGAATTAAGGAAAGAAGTGAAACCAGAGAAAACATCAAAACTAATGTAGGAAATATAAAAGTTTTTAAACTGTCTCAAAGCCATCAAGATCTTAAGCTTTACCTTAAGGGGTAACCACTCAGATGGTTTTTGGCAGGCTATAATTCAACATATAACTATGCTAGAGCTAGTTAGGATTGATTTAGGGACAACACCCAAGTCCTCCTTGGTGGTTGTGCTGTCCATCATACTCTCAATGGGTGTCTCCACTTAAGATATTGTCCCACTGATTACCAGGTACACCTCAATAACATTTTTGGTGAGGGATCCAAATGTATGGAACTGTCTGTGGCTTTGCAGACACAATGAAACAACACTATTAGATGTGGCTTAGACTTGGTGGAATTTACAGCTACTGCAGTGGCAGTGGGCCAATTAAAACAGGCTTTGATGGCAGGAGGGCTGATGAATTGGAATGGTTCTTACTGAATGTCCCCCGTTCTGCTGAGGGCATCCACTGGAGTGGCTGAGTGGTTAACATGTGCCCTCAGAAACACATCTCTGATATCCTACAGCAAAGCCAGCTGCTTTTCAGGGGGAGGTAATGAAATTGGCAGGGAAACAGTTACAACTATTTTAAGGAAAGAAAAGGAAATATATCATCCTGCACATCAGCTAAAACCTATGTACTAAAGCTGTGATGACGAACCTATGGCACGCGTGTCAGAGGTGGCACACAGAGCCCTCTCTATGGGCATGTGTGCCGTTGCCAGCTGCTCTCCTGGTTTCTGGCCAGCTGATCTTCATGGGTGCCAGCATTCCAGAAAATGGCCTGAAAAACAGCCAAAAAACAGGCTGCTTTTGGGCCATTTTCAAGGCCATTTTTTCAGGTCATTTTTCAGGCCAAAAATGGCCCAAAAAACGGTGTAGAAACAGCCTGGAAAATAGCTTGAAAACAGCCAAAATGGCCAAAAAACAGGCTGCTTTTGGGCCATTTTCAAGGCCATTTTTTCAGGTCATTTTTCAGGCCAAAAATGGCCCAAAAAACGGTGTAGAAACAGCCTGGAAAATAGCTTGAAAACAGCCAAAATGGCCAAAAAACAGGCATGCGCGTACCGGCCAGCTGGTCTTTNCGGCTTCGAGACCCTGGTTCATCACGTCCACCGCTTCATTGAGTTGGCACGGGGCGGACAGATACAACTGCGTATCGTCCGTGTATTGGTGGTATCTTATCCCATGCCTCCGAATGATCTCGCCCAGCGGTTTCATGTAGAAACCTCTCCAAATCCTCCTTTATATAATTTGTTAACATAGTTATTCTCTTTGATTGGTGTATACCTTTCTTTTATATAGATTCCTAAGTATTTCATTTGTTTTTCAATCTGAATATTTATTCCCTTGGCCAATTTAGCAACAGCAGCCTGAGACCAGGGCCCTGATTTCCCATGTCACCTGGTTCCCAAGTTGAGCTATCAGGGCCGGAACAAGGGATCGCTGTGACGTAGCGAACCCTCCTTCCCCGGTAATGGCTAGCCCTAGAGCTCCCATTGTACCTGCCCCTCCCAGTCATAACCGTAATGCTCCGGCCCGCCCCAATACCCGTAGACCCTCCTTTATCTCTCAAGGCCCCCGGTCTACTTGGCAGGCCATTCAGATCAGCCATTCCGGGATGAGAGGCGGATCCGGGCCCCCATCCACTTCTGGTTCTGCACTCAGTGGAGGGGGCACCAGGCCGCACTCTCAATCCCCTCATACGCATCAACCAAGCATTCTCCGCATGCATACCCTGCAATAGTTTAAAAGATATAACAATACAATAAAAATAATTATGATAATTTAAAAGAAAGTGGGATCATTCGCTCGCAGGCATACACAAACACTCCACATACCAAGGAAAAGAAAGAGGGATTGCGCAGATATTAAATTAGTGTTGGAATTGTGCAAGTCAATCGTTGGTCCATAGAATGGCGACACACAGTCAGGTCAATGGCAGTGGTGGGCGGTAATAGTTGAGACAGGGAGACAGGATCGAAAAATCTGGAAATCCAGGGGTCCAGAGTCCAGGGTCCAAAGTCCATAGGCAGTATAAAGTCCATAAACATAAACGGAGGCAGGGAGAGCCAGATGGTAAGAGTAATAAGTTGGAAAAGCTCTGCAACCACAACAAGATCCGAGAAGAAGCCACAACGTGGAGACAGTCCGTTCAAATGGAGTGGGGGGGGGGGTGCCCGGCGGGGTCATGAAGATGATACGTAGAAACAACTGTCCCCTCCGTCCAGCGCCACATAAGACAACCAACCCACTCTGAGGAAACCGACTGTGGGCTGATGTAGTTCTGGAAACACTAGGGGCTCTCCCACTCGAAGAGGACAATGACACAGGCCACCAGGACGTTGCAAGCCAGGATACAATGAAGAGCGGGTGAGGGGGGGGGGCTGGAAGGGATGCGGCGGTGGTAGTAAGGCCAGCCGCTTAATCCCACTCGGTGCCATCCAAGCCAACCACCCCCTTGTTGGTGGGGTAATATTAGCGCGGCCCCAAGGGTTCTCCTGAGTTTGTCAAGTCCAAAGGTAAAGTCCCACGTCCAGAAACAAAGCCGAGAAGCACCGGCGTTATTAAAATAAAATTTTGATCTGAATATTCTAAAGGAAAAGTAAACACAGGCAAGAATCTTATGCCATTTTCAGATTATGCAGAATCAATATGGATGAATGGATGGACAGACGGACAAACTTATTTCTGCAGTTTGGAAATAGCAGCTGCTGATTACTCGAACAAGATCATGGAAGGCTTTGTCAACATTCAGTGGAGGATCCTTAGCACTAGTTTCTATATATGGAATATTGTGCTTGGCTGCCATTTCCTTCCCTTGGTCTTGGGTGATTTTTCTCAAATGCATTAGATCAACTTTTGTTGGCCACTAAATTCATTGGAAAAGATTCTCTATCCTTAACTCGGAGAATGAGTTGATGGAACCTATCCACATGTTCAAAGCTGGCTTTGTCTTTGACCGAATAGACTATAAGAAAGCCATCTCCTGTCCTCATGTATTGCTCTCTCATTGCACTGAATTCCTCTTGACCAGCAGTGTCCAGGACCTAGCTTTGACCAAGCTCGCTTGCCGGTCCCAGGGACTGGCCCCCGCCTAATTCCAGCGGGCGCCTCTTTCGGTTTGAGGTTTGTTTTATTTATATGCCGCCCTATTCCTTGCGGGACTCAGGGCAGCGAACAACCCAAGGGGGAAAGGGAAACACAAGAGTACAATACAAGCTTTTAAAAATAGCCAACAGCCACACAGATCGAGAGGGGAAGGGAACTCATCAACCCCAGTCCTGCCGACACAGCCAGGTTTTNTTTTCATTTATTTGTTTTGGAAAAATTAGATAGCCACCTATTCACTCACAGCGACTCTAGGCGGCTTACAGAAAATAAAAACACAATGTGGAAGAAATAAAAAATAAAATATCCCCCCCCCCCCCTCCAACAACACACACTCATATCAGCCATTTAATGGGCTCCATCCAGGTCTGGGTTCCCCAGGCATGCTAGCAAAACCATCAGGGCCTTACAAAAGTGTCAGATTGGGGTGAGGTCCAGTCTAATTTCTGGAGGGATAATGTTCCAGAGGGAGGGAGCCACCATGGAAGAAGGCTCTTCTTCGAGTCCTGTCAAATGTACCTCCTTAGGGGATAGTATCTTGCCTCCCCACTCTAGTGGGTTGGGTGGATGTGACCGGCTGTCAGATCTGTGAATCTGCCATTCTTCAGGGGAGGATGGGGACCCTGTTCCATTATGTATCTTTATTGTACTTTGCATACGTTTACATTTTATTGCTCCTATATATTCTGCATCCTGTAATCATTGATTTATAATCTTTAGCCTGGTGCCTAAGCAGCCTGGCATTTTCTCACCTTTTGGGGAACGTAAGGGGAGGGAGAGCCATGTGGGTTGTATCGCTTCAAAGCCGGCAGAGGATGACCCTGAGAAAGTTCCCTTATCGCTTTCTCAGAGCGCCGGTACAATAACATTTTCACACCTGCATATTGGCTGAATCCACACTGGACTGTTGGGATAGGTTTCCAATTCCTTTTATTCTAACTGTATGGCTTGAGGGCTCTTAGAGCCTGCTTTGCTTTCGCCCTGCTATCACTTCTATTCAATAAAAGGTTCCTTTTGAAATGCTAAGTTTCAAGTGTCTTTACTTTCTTGAATAAGGAGAAGAGGCCGGGCCTTACACCGGCAAAAAAGTCCCTCAGATAACCTGGTCCCAAGCCATGAAGGGAACTATCAAAAATGGAAGTACCTTCCTCACAATTTGATACACTAACAGAATACTAAAAGACCTCACTTCTTCTGACGTTCTAGATACAGAAGTAGTAACAAGGATGGCAAATAAGTGGGGAAAATGAATTGCTGTGGCAATGGAATATTTTGAAGAACACTGGAAAATTGCTGGACTGCCCCCCCTCCCCCACTTTTGCAGGAAAACAACATTCTGCATTGTTTAGAATACTTTGGTTCCTCAAGCTCTGTTTTGCTCATTCAAAAAGAATCTGGCTCTTTCTTACAGTGACTTTCATCTTTCTTCGGAGTCTTCCCTTCCCAGGTGGCTTCAAAAAAACCCCAAACCCTAATAGCTCACCTGGAAAAGAATGCCTCAGACTACTCCTTTCCTCAGACTCCTGAATCATCCCATCTCTTCCGATCTGGAAGATCATGTCAGGTTCACCATTATGCAGGCAATCATATGGATATTGGGGTGGCAATTCTAAATTAAGGAAAAAAGTTAAACCAGAGGAAATATTGAAAAACAATGCAGGGAAAAAGACTAGTACCAGATGTCAAAAAGTCATCAAATTTTTACCTTGAGTAGAAACCAGGTTTTCTCAGGCTTTAAATCAATATATTACCATACTGGAACTGGTTAGGGTTGATTTAGGGGCATGTTTTGCTGGCCACTATACTCTCAAAGGGGCTCTCTGAAATCTTTCCTACTGATTACTAGGTGCACCTCAGTCACAGTTTTGGTGAGGGGTCCAAGTATGTGCAACTGTTTGTGTTTTGCGGACACGAAGGGACTACCTTATTGGGTGGAATTAAGATTTACTGGGACTTGGAGTTACGGCAACTGCGATGGGCCAATTAAAATGGGCAAAGAGGGCTGCTGAATCAGAATGGACGTCCCCCAGATTCTGCTGAGGGTTTCCATGGGAATGGTTCAGTGGTTAATGTGAACCCCCAGAAACACGTCTGATTTTGTACAGCCAACCCAGGTCGCTGACAGAGGGAAGTACGTAATGAAATCAGTGGGGCAACAGCTAAGTTAATGGCGGGAAAACTCACCAACTTATGAGCTAAACTATGTACTAAAGGAAATTCTGATCAATGTATCTTCCAACTGCTGTGTGTCTGGATGTGAAGACAGGTTGATTCAAAGTGATTGACTTTGGAAAAAAGTAACATGTAACCCAATAAGACTTAAAAATAGGCGGATTCTTTTGTTACAGAAAGACTTTCTCACCGACTACAGTTATGTCATCCCAATTCATAACTGCTTCAACAATAGAGTCTTTCCCTTTGAAGGCCCTCTGTGTCTCTTCGTCCAAGTCAGGTTGGAGACTTGGATCTGGTTTCGATATCAAAAGCTCTAGAGCAAGGAAAAGAAACACAACAAAAGAGAGGAAGATTATTGATTTTCTTTATAGCTATCTAACATGATAAAGTGTCTCATGCAGGGACAGGCTGGGTAAATTAGCTAGCTCAGAATTCCAATAGAGGTACACCTCATAAAGGTTTCTAGATGACAGGTTGGAAGCTAATTTCTTTTTTGATAGTGCTCTGATCACAACATATGTTTCCAGTTCTATGCGTGGTGTAAAATGATACTGAACCTCTTGGTCATCTGAGTTATTTGTGGGAGAGCAACCAAGGTCAGAGAATACCAAGAACAAAAATAATTTAGAATTGTCTACTAGTGTAGCATAGTTGAAATGTTGGTCTAGATTTGGGAAGAACCAGGTTAAAGTGCACCCCAAGCCATGGAAACCTAAGGGAACCTTGCATTTGTTGTCCCTCGGCTCAATCTAACGGAAAAGTCTGCTTTAAAGATAAAGCAGGTTACCAAATAAAATGTAATTTGCTCCTTGGTTATTACATTTGCTAAACAAACAAACAACTCACAAGGACTGTTATATAAGCAAAATAGAGTTGACAGCTTCAGAAAGGATTCCTTGATCTTACAGGAACCCTTACCTAAAGAGGTTATGTTCTCAGAATTTTCTTGCATGACTGTGTAATACAATATTCTTTGCTCCTCATTTAGAAGGTCCCATTCCTCTTGGGTGAAATATACAGCCACATCTTGGAATGCCATAGGACACTATAAGAGGAAGAAAATGGAATAAATTAATGCTTTTGATCTGTTTACTACTGTGATGACTGCTAACCATGCCATTTAGCAAAAAATATTCAGAAATAATACCTGCTGCATCTTGATTTTATAATTCCTTACCTAAGTTTATATAAAGCTCCCTGACAGTTGATATCTAAACATAATGTTGAAGCAAGGGACTCCCCTAAAAAGTTAGCAGGACAAAGATTAGAAATTTAACCATACTCTTATAACAGGGATACAACTCAATGATTTCACTTGTGGTTGTGATTTGTGGTTCAGTAAACTGTAGAAAACCAGCCACTTACAGGTTAACCAGGCCACTGGATTATAAATTACAGTATAGCTATATTATGTAAACCTGAGATACCAACCCGGGATTTGTAATTAGCAGGGTATATGAACCAAGATATTGGGGGTATATTTTAGATCTGTAGCTCTCCAAGTAAGAACAGACTTTCCTAGCAAGCTGGAAACTGTTAAGAATAATAATAATAATTTATTTGTCAGTGCACAACATATGTACAATATGATTGGTAGAGCTCCCTTAGTGCACCCCCCCAACACAATACAATTCACAGTGAAGATAGAAAATCCCTAACCCAATAAATCATATTAACAAACACCCAGTCCTCCCATTACACCAGTGTGAACGTGTTACACATTGCACCAGCTCTGCAAGCCCATCGAACTACGTAGTTGTGATGTTATTTCACATTCAGGAGTATGACAGCCCACGGATAAAAACTGTACTTCAGCCTGTTTGTGTGGCTGGCTATGATTCTATATCTCTTTCCTGGTGGTTGGAGGGTAAAGATGTGCTCTCCAGGGTGTAAGTCGTCCCTGAGGATTTTCCTCGCTCTTCTAAGGCAGCGAGCCCTAGCAGTCTTATCTACTGGTATCAGGGGACAGCCCACAATGTTTTGTGCTGTGCTCACCACCCTCTGTAATGTTTTCCTATCTGTGGCTGTCAAACCGGCATGCCATACCATGATGCTGTTATTCTGTTATCAAAGGAGATGATGTTTTTAGCCTTCCCTCTTTCTACTGCCCACTCCATTTATAACCAATTGCAAGACAAATTCAGGTGGCCTCAGAATCCAGCCTACTGGAGACCCCTTCTTGCTTGGCCAATGCTTGTGGTCAGAGGAACAACAACATTCCTAGCATTAGGCTATGAATCAAGGTCTCCCTTTCTTATTCGCAAGGATACCTGTTGCTCCAGGTAAGCTTCAGCCAGCTGAGCTGCCTCCTGGCTGGTACTTGGCTTCCTGGCTCTCACCCAAGCCCGCATTCCCAAAGGAAGCACATGTAGAAACTGCTCCAAGATGACCACGTCCACCACCTGTCCTTTGGTGCGGTCCTGTGGTCTCAGCCATCTCTGAGCGGCCTCTCCCAGGTGGAACAGAGTCTGCCAGGGACGTTCCCCCAAAGGAAGAGCATCCGAACGAAACCTCTGCCTGTTGTGTTCCTCAATGTCTTTGAGCAGGGCATCCACGTCCACCTTGACCTCCCCAGGGATGCCAACCGGTTCCTCTTTCCCAAAGCGATGGGCTTCTGACCCCTTCATGGATGTTGACCAAGCAGATCTTCTTCTACACCAGCCATTCATTAGATTCCCTGGAGCCCCAAAAATTGCTTCCTCTGCTGGGAGTTGGGAAAGGCGTATGGGGGTCCATCTCAAAGGAAACCTTGCAACTATAGTTTTAGGAGAAAAGCAAAATACAT